ATGTCAATCTGTGTAATATCAGATATGGAGATAGAGGAATGTTCATAGATACGTCTATGGCAAAATTAAATTTGAATGGAGAATGTAAACACTCTTCATGAACACCCCTCAATGTTCATCATTCAGCTGATATTCCACCATGCAGTGTGACATGACCAAAGTCGTTTGACTATAGAGTCCTTAGTAGAATGATTTAATTACCCGACAAACCCTACAGTGATGAAACCCTCGATAAGATCTCTTGATCAATGGAGTCCACTACTGTCTTGATATCAATAAAGACAGTTAGTGTAAGGCAATGTTAATTGTTCATCTTTTCCGTGTTATGACAAAAAGGTAAAGATCTGATTTAGACACCTATGATTGGGTCTGGGACCAGCCTGCTATGTTCGTCAAACTGATTCCCTTTGGCTTATCACAACAGGATTTCTCTCCTTTTTTGAAAAAATGAGACAATCAACAATTATGATCAGTCAAAAGGTGCCACATATGATTCCCATACACTAGGTAACACTTCAGTTAACTAAGCGAATAATGTTAGTCCACTGTCTTTAACTAACCATGATGCAAGCCCCAAGAGATCAGCTAGTATTCCATATTTCAGCTTACTTACAACCATTTCAAATTTAGTGCATAAACGTATGGTCAATTGATAGAATAAAAAAGAAACACTTGTTATCTTTAACATGGTGTGATTTATCTTTGAGATGATAATCCTGAAAAGTAAATGTTGACACTCAGATTTCTGTCTATTGTCTGCTTACTGAATTATTCCTCATTTTCATTCATTTCAGTTTATAGTAATTTTTTGATGAGAAAAATGTTCCTAATAGCTCTATCAGAATGATGGAATTAGAAACTTGAACATTCCAGTGTTTATAGGAAAAGAGATAGACCTGAATTTATCGTAGCAAAATTCTGGTACAGACGCTTTGCCTCTTTATTAGAGCCATTTGTATTCAATTATTGTAAAATCAGTATGGAAAGAAGTGCAAATATTGAAAGAGTTAGTGGTTTACATTTGGTGATTACACGTTACCCTTAGCAATTTTCGAATTCTATTCATGTATTACCCAAGGCATAAAAACAACATTGTATTGATTATTATCATTTGCCCCTTGGGTTCCCAGTGGAGCATAAGGCTTCAGTAGCACGTCGCCACTGCACTCTCTTCTCTGCGGTCTTTCGAACCTAGCTTCACGACTGCCTGCTCATAAGCTTTCATTTGATCCTCACACGATCTCCTCCATGTTACCCTTGGACGCCCAACTCGTTGTTTCCCATTTGGGTTCCACTGGAGGGCCTGGCACATGATGCCCCTAATGGTCTTCTCAGTGTATGTCCAATGCAATCCATCTCCACTTCCTTCCACTGCATATTTGTTGGGTGATAGGTTGTTGGTTGGTTTGTTGCCAATTCAGAGTTCCTTGTTGCCTATTCTTTCTGGTCGTCTAATCTTCAGTATCGAGTGAGCATAGGCGGGAGCTGTTGATGTATGTCCGTAGTTTCCTAAAGCGCCAAGTCTTTGAACCATATAGAATCACTGACTTGACATTGGTGTTGAAAATCCGGATCTTGTTTACGCTTTATGCTTAGTGGAGTAGAGTGTAGTAGATTTCCACACCGATTTCAGGTTAATGAACGCCTGTCTTGCTTTCCGATCCTGGCTTTGACGTCCTCGTCTGTGCCGCCGCCTGTAACAGTTGGAACGATGCTGCCTAGATAGGTGAAAGAGACAACTTCCTTTAGTTTTCTCCCGTTGATGGTGATTGAAGCTTATTGTTGCTGGTTGGGTATATTCATCACCTCTGTCCTCTCTACATTCATTTGAAGTCCCGCCTTCGGTGCCTCTTCTGTCAACTTATCGGTTTTGCCTGTAGATCTTCGAGTTTGTGCCACAAGACATGAGACATAAATCATCGTTGGCGAAATCCAAATCTTCTAGGGTCTTCTCATTGGTCCAGTCAGCGTGTGCCCATCTTCTCGCTCTTTACAATTTGTCACATAATCCAGTCGACCACAATCAGGAAGATCATAGGTGATAGTAGGCAGACATGTCTTATTCCTGTCTTCACTTCAAAGGCGTCACTGAGCTTTCCATTGTGAATTACTTGGCATGTGGCGTCTTCATATAGCTTTTGAACGAGATTGATAAAGGTTTGTGATATTCCGTAATGTTGAAGCAGCTTCCTGCCAAATTACTTCTCTGTCGATGCTGTTGAAAGCCTTTTCAAAGTGAATGAAGTTGAGATAAAGACCCAGTTGACTGCTATTCTATGCTGTGTTCTATGATGATGCGTAATGTAGCGTTGCAATCCGCACATGATTTATTGTTCCTGAAACCAGCGTGCTCCGGTAGTAGTTTTGAACGCAGTGCACTTTTTAATTTCTCTAGGATGATGCAGCATAATATTTTGCTTGGGGTGGACAGGAGCATGATTCCGCGACAGTTCTTGCAAAGACTAAGGTCACCCTTCTTCCGATCAATTGGTAGGTACCTTTCCTTCCTTCCAAACCTTCTGCAGTAGTAGTGTGAGCATGTTCCTTGTTGTTTTAGCGTTTATTTTTGGTGCTTCTGGAGGGATTCCATCTGGTCTTGCTACCTTCCTGGTTTTCAGTAACTTTATGGCTTTTGGGACTCCACCTCTGCTTTTGTGGGAGGGCTTGTGCTCACTTGTAATTCTGCGGTTGCTGGTGGTATTTCTGGTCGTGGTCGATTCAAGAGTTTTTTTGGAGTAGTCAGCCCATTGTTTTCTTTGTGTCTCCGCCCTGGTAACTAGCTTTCCTTCACTATCTTTCATTGGTTTCGTCTGAGTAGATCTCTTCCGAGATAAAAATCTGGTTATTTTATATAACGTTGTAAGGTCTGTGTCTCGCCTACCTGCAGCCTGTTCTGCTTCATTTGCCAGTGTGTCGTGGGGGTGTCTTTTGTCTTTCCGTGCACTCTTCTTCACTTCTTTGTCCAGTGTATTGTTTTATACATTGTACTGAGTTCCTCCTCTTTTTGAGCATCCTTGCACTGTATCAACTTCTGCTTCACCATCTTCCTCTCTTCTATCAGCTCTCATGTGTTCATCGAGATCCATTCCTTGCCTTGTTTCCTCTTCCTTCCTAGTACGGTTATGCAGGTTTCTTTCCACATAGCTTTCAAAGACTTCCAGTGCTCATCCACACAGGTTTCCTCAGGGATGTTCCTCGATATCTCCCATTATGTCTTGATGGCTGACGTGAAGATGTCCCTTGTAGTTTTGGTCCTTCAGTTTCTGGGTGTTGGACTTGAACTATGGTCTATCATCACCAGCTTCTTTGAAGACTTTCAACTTGATTTGGAAGTTTCCTTGCATTAGATAGTGAGTGGTGTGAACCTACATCTGCTCCCCTTATTGATCTTGTGTCAAGGAGACTGCGTCTCCACATTCTTGAGGTTGAGATGAATTCGATCTGATTTTTAGTGTAGTGTGTCCATGTGATTAAATCCATGTCGCTCGCTTTGTGAATATCCTTGTGTTTATACGCAGTGCCTCCAATCACCAGGTCATTAAATGCTCAGAAGTCTGCAAACAGTTCTCCATTCTCATCCATCATTTTACCGAGTGCTTCTCGACCTATGATGAGTTCTCTTCCTTTGTTGTCCTCTCCCAGTTTGTCATTCATGTCACTCCACCCATTAGAATTTTGATGTCGCCAACTGGGGTGTTGTCTTGTCTATTACTGATTGCAGTTGTCTATAGAATTTCTCCTTCTTCTCTTAGTCCGTATTATTCGTAGGCGTGTAGTATTGTATGATTGTGACTTTCATTCCTTTTGAGTTGAATTTTGCTGTCATGATCCTGGGGGAGATTAGTTCCCACTGCATGATAGCCTCATTGATAACTGATTGAATTTGTAATTTGGAGTACGATATATTGTTTTGAACTTCCTGAGAAAGTATAACTCAGTAGGCAACATTTGGTTTGAGCAAGTTGGGAAACCAAGTAATTTCAAATGTAAAGCAAACTACTTTTTGATGGTAAGTATTTAAACGGCTGAATAATGATATAAAGCCAAATGCAACTGGAAAACCTTACAAATTGTAAAAAGATTTCAGAAGTACTGAATACTTCTCCACTTTTCACTTAGAACCGATTCTGTGTATATTATACATTCAAAACAGTTATTCAGTAACTGATTTTGTATGCTGAGACATGAAATTTCTAAGTTTACAGGTAACGTTACTTAAATCTATTGTAGTTAGTAATATCAACTTATCAACTCTTATTGAACAGAAAAGTAATCGCACTTAACTACAACTGCTACTATATTTTGTATTTGACAGAGAGTAAGAGTCATTGTTTGAAGAATTAATTCACCACTACCAGTAGTGTAAAGGGGGTTGCCTGTCGCTTGAACAGCTGTCTGTAACTGAAGATTTGAGTGATGCGTATTCGAATCTCTAGGAGAGAGAGAAAAAGAGAAAGAGTCCGTTTTACAAGTTTATAGATGTGACTCACAAGTATAACAAGAAAATAATGCTTAGAACCAATGTTTTCCACTGGTTACTGTTAAATAAATAAATAAATAAACATTCAGCTTGGAGGCTTCTGGGGATTTTATTGATTTCATGTTGGCGTCCATCGTTGACTGACATCTTTTGGAGGGCTATCGGAAACATGGAAGCATTTGGTACCTGTTCCGTCCCAGTATGGGACTCTTCAGCAGTGAACACCCATGACCTCATCCGGGATCCAGCCAAAGACCTCCAGTTTTCGTGGTGACCACTTTATTGCTAAGTCACTGGGTTTTAAAATCCAAGGTTCTAGATTCGATCCCTGACGAGCTCATAGATAGGCACCGCTGATGATTCCTATGCTTAGACAAAACAGTTATTCAGTGATCCGAGGTTTTTTTCAACTGATATCAAACCGTGGTGAGTACCATCCTGAAATATATATATGCATTTACTAATTTCTTAAATCATTAAATTCCACTTAAAATATGTATTTCTTGTTTCTATTTTACAGGTGAAGAAACTAATGGAAGTCTTTTGAGACGGTTTTGCACATAACTAATCTTTCGTATAGAATAGTCTTATAGTTTTAAAATCTTAAATTAGCTATCTGTCTATTTAACTTTAACTAACAATTTATCATGTGTTGTCATTTTCTTTCTTTATTATTTAGTTAAAATAATCGTAAAGTATTTTGTATAAAGTAATAATGGTTGCAGTATTGGAATGAAACAAGTTCTTTTTCTACAAGCTACGACTTCTCCATTCATTCATACATGTAAATCAACATCGGACCAGGCATTGCTACGTAACGGTTCGCGTTGCCACAGCTCATATCAGTACATTAAACAAAAAGGCAGCAAAATGGAAGATGAAAAAAAGAAAATTCAGTCAAAAGATACGTAAAGTACTTAAGGAGAGGAAGGGAGAATGACAAAATGGTTGAGAATCGGTATAGTGTTAAGATGAGGATAATGTGTGTATACATTTGCGCCACTGACATCGGTTCTCAGCTATATCTCCTAGAGTCTCCAATCACTGATTTCTCTTGCCCGTGGACCCTAACCACCTAGTCTGCATCGTCCTACATGGTTCAAACTAACAGTCAGAGACTTCATACATTAATTCCATGTTTTAGTTCGACCACATCGCACCTTTTTCCAGCATGGACCTACTTCGGTCAACATTGTGTGACGAGGCAGACAGCGACTAGGCATACTTAACACATGTCCCAACCATCTCAGTTGGTGAAGGTTCACAACTGATTTACCTCTTCTCTCTAAAACTCTTCGCCTAACTTCTGCATTACTCACATGGTAACACCACGGAATACGGCCTATACTACGAAGGCGACGGTGGTCAAACACCTGAAGCCTTTTTGTATCCTCCACCTTCAATGGCCATATTTCACAGCCATACAGCAGGACAGACCGAACTGCTGCGCACTACACGCGACCCTTAATAGACAATCAGATATCACGGCGGCGCCATAGGTGGTGTAAATTGGCAAAAGCCAGCCGAGCCTTTTTTATACGAGCAGAGATCTCATCGGCCACTGAGTCACCAGGGTTGATCTTACTTCCCAGGTAAGTGAAGTGGTCGACGTTTCCCTAGTCATTAATATGAAAACAATATGTACCTTCGGTATTAGTCACTGAACTTTGATCCTAATTGGAATTGTTAGGGATATTAGCCATGAACTGAGTCTAGCAGTGGTACTCCGGACGCATGTTCTGCCCTATTTGGGACTCGTCAACTGGATGTACCTGCCTCCTTTTGAATGGATGTGTTCCCACCAAGAATCACAACCAGGACCAATCGCTTCAAGCACTGTAGTGTCACCCACTGGGCCACTGAGTCACGATACTTAGGTGGATAGTTTACATTTATCAAGAAATGACTTTTTTTATGTATGGGACTGTCATGATAACACAACACTGTTCAAGCCTGTATGTGTATTGTCTCCTATCCTCGTAGTGAATGCGACTGAAGTGTATCGAACAACTTAAATGAATCAGTATTTATACTTGAGCTATCTAAAGAATCAGGGATTTTTCATGCTGAAAATGTAGATAAGATTTTTAGTATGAGGAAATTCAGAAGTTGTCTTACTTTCAGCTATGCTTTTGTAGTTGAAACTCTTAGTGTCTTCTATCAAAACAAACTTAGCGAATAAGCATCTTGGATGAGTAGTTATCAAAATCTTTTGGTTTCATTATCATTCATATCGTTGATGCAAATTAGTATCACTCTTCAAAATAGCATATAGTTTAAATGTGTTTTTTAACAAAAGAAGTCCTACTTTAAGTTTATGCAGCTTGAAATTATTATTTATCCCTTGGGTTCCTAATGGAACTAAGGGCCTCAGTAGTACGTCTCCAGTGCACTCTGTCCTCTGAAATATTTTGAACCTGGCTCCACGACAGCCCAGAAGCTCTGATGTCTTCCTCGCACGATCTCCTCCATGTCACCCTCGCCTCGGACAACCAACTCGTCGTTTCCCATCGGGGTTCCACTCTATGGCCTGACCTGACTCATGATGTCTCCGAATAATCTCAGTGTATATCCAATCCAATCCATCTCCACTTCCTTCCACTGCATATTTGTTGGGTGATAGGTTGTTGGTTGGTTTGTTGTCTATTCAGATTTCCTTATTGCTTATTCTTACTATTCTGGTCATGTGATGTTCAGTAACGAGCCAGCGTAGGTGGCAGTTGTTGATGAGTATCTGTAGTTTATTGGAAATCCCTTTCTTAACGCGCGAAGTCTGTGAACCATACAGGAGCAGTGATTTGACGGTGGTGTTGAAAATCTGGATCTTGTTCCACATGCTGAGTGCAGAAGATATTCACACTGGATTCAGGTTAATGAACACCTGTCTTTCTTTTCTGATCCTGGCTGACTTTGAAGTCCTCATCTGTGCCACCGCCGCCGCCTGTAGTTGAAACGGTCAAGCCTAGATAGATGAAAGAGGTTACTTCCTTTAAGTTTCTCCCATTGATGGTGATCGGAGCTTGTTGTTGTTGTTCTCGTTGGTTGGGCATCTTCATCACCTCTGTCTTCTCTACATTCACTTGAATTCCCGTCTCCACTGCCTCTTCTGTCAACTTGTTAGTTTTTGCCTGTAGATCTTCAAGTTTGTGCGACAAGACATCAGACACAAGTCATCGGGGAAATCCAAATCTTCTAGGTTCTTTCCCGCGGTCCAGCCAGCTTATCCCTCTCTTCTCGCTCCTCACTGCTTGTTGCATGATCCAGTCCACTACAATCAGGAATATCATGGGTGATAGTAAGCGGCAGCCCTGTTTTACTCCTGTCTTCACTTCAAAGGCATCACTGAGCTTCCCATTGTGAATTACTTGGCGTATGGCTTCTGGCTTGAAATTACTAGAACTTAATGATTGTGAGATTTCAAGTTTTGCAGCAAGATTTACTATTAATCTGTGTAAGTAATACTCATCTTACTTATGTCTGAACCATGCAGGGCTGTTACAGAATCTGGACTGTTCTATTAGGGCAGTGTTAGTCGAATACACATAGTTTGTTATAATTCGTTCTCTTTAGTGATGAGCATTTGCGATTATTTAAAAAAACAGCGTGCTGTTTTTAGTATCCTCTGTCCACTACTGGTGATGTCAGTTTACAAAGACCAGTATATCCGCGTCACAACTCTATTAGTTATTGAATCCCTTTCTTGAATGCGAGTAAGTGGAGTAGTTCCTAACTTCAACTACCCCGTTCATTACTATCAGACGGGACATTTTGTAAAATCGACCTTAAATTAACGACCTATTTTTCAGCTAGTAAGAAACATGCCTCAGATATCCTCTTATTTACGATGATAACCTTGCGAATATTAAACATTCATTAGCCTTTTCATACAACTGGACTTTTAACTGTTTTCTCTTTGATGTGAAGAATATAAACAAGTATAATTCCATACCATATCTGAGTTATAATATATATTGATACTAATTTTTTCCATATATTTGATATATTTCTTATTCTGTTGCAGAACAATATGTTATTGTGGTATTTTTACTTGTTTGGTAGTTGTAATAATTATAACTACTGCTTACTGTACAGCTTGTTTTACATGATTTCGTTAGAAATAAAATCTCACTCACAGAATTACATTGTTCATTTTCTATGGGTACATTAGATCTTATTTTCTAATCGAAATATCATGTTTAATTCATCTCTTTTCCACGTGAATCTCATCAGAAAATAACGGTGATATTTTATTGGATTGAAAAGTATGTAAGTCGACAAGCATATACAAATTTGTGAACTGGAGAGTGGGATATATCTATCAAGAGAGTTGGTGATGTGAACTGGCTGTATAAACCTTAGTTGGTGTAGCACATTTCCAAACTTCTATTCACAGGTTGAGAGCTGAAAGGAAGTGGATAAAAGTGGGAATCAATAATTTAAGTCATTAGGCTATGAGGTAAAAATATTTAATTCTTCTCAATAGTGCGGTGAGGATATATTTTACTGGAAAATTTCATGCGTCAAAGAGCCAATCAGAATAAGTTGTCTTATCTTTTACCTTGGGGATTCTTATATTTGTGAAAACCGTATATATATATAGGATGTATTTTTGTCCAAATAAAGTTATCCTAGCAGTTACAGGTCAGTCTTTGTCTACTGATATTTCGTGGCTCAGTTCAAGTGTAATAATACGTCCAGTATCGCTATTACACCAGGGTCTTATTATACCCGGTCACCTATATGACTAAGCATCAAATTCATTGCCTAACAACTTCGAAACTCCACTGAAAATCGTACCATCATTAAACCCCTAACGACGAGAAATAAGTCTTTTCAGAACTAGTGTTTTCTGACTTTGATTAAATGGCAGTATACTGTGTGAATTATTGTCGGATATCAGATATTCTGGTGCTACTACATTGAGTAGTTATTATTGATGAAATTGAGGAAACATTTCTTTTCACATACTAAGTACTATGATAAATCTGCATAATAATCAAGTTTTACCTTCGAAATTATGAAACATAATTTGATTTTTTTGTCTGTTAGTTATACCAGCTCAGTCGCATGTTTGGCAAAAAAATTAGGGTTCTCACACTTCAAAGCCTTTTTGTAAGGAGTTGAAGTGATAATAAATAATCAGCGTTGAATTAGCTAGAAAATGAGTATAGCTTAGTAAGTCCGACTAACACTTTGATTTAGTCAGTTTCTAACTTACTGTAAAAGAACTTTATTTGCTGCATTTCATACTTCCTTTGTTTCTTAGTAGAATGGCTTTCCTACCTGCTTCCTGTTACAGGTTTTGCATACACTTCACTAGAACTTTTATTGTTATTATTTATAAGTTAGCAAGGATGGACGAGATATTTCTGTTGGTGCAGGATCGATCTTCATGAAACCTGGAAACACAATTTATCACATTTCAGACGTATTTTTATAACTTTGTTACGGTTATCTTTATGAGGAGAGATAGTAACTTTTTCTCACAGCTTCACACACAAAATTTTGCTGACACAGTTAGTAATCGAATATTTTCGACGACTTTATTGAGATAAAAAGCAAACAACTTATTTAGTCTTGAATAAGTAGCAAGAAATTTCAAGATTTCTCTTGGATTCCATAAGGTTAAAACAAACTATTGATTCTTTTTTTTATTATATCCCATTTCAAACTAAATTTTATGGCAGCAAATGCAACGTAGAAATCTTATAAGCGTTAGAAAGAGTTTTTGTATGGAAACTATGCTTGTGTTATTT